TAGTATTTTTAATTAAAATGGTATAATTCGGTTTTTCTAAGATGACCTCTGACTATGGCTACCCATTAGGAGATGTCAAATAGTATTTATAAAACAGGGAAAGTTATTGCTGATGACATGATTTCAGGTTACTATTCAATTTTTTTACTTTCCTGCATTAATTTATTTTAAAAATATGTAACATTTTATGAAACCAGCAAAGTTGTAATTCTTCACTACAAAAAGATTAAACCAAATAAAATATACTGGAATGAATCCCAGAAGCTGGGCTCAGTGAGGACATTTATTAAAATCCCCTCAGAGACATCCATTAGAAACTTGATTTTGTTTAGCAAGCACTTTTTAAACTCCTACTGTGTGACTAGGATGAAGCATAATTATAAATGGTATAGGTCAACAACCTCTAATTCAAGGAACTTTCATTTCAGCTATGGAAATATACAAAAAATTAATACCAAAAAAAGTGGTAAGAAAGATTATCATTAATAATTTTTTGTAAATTTCATAATCCATCTCTCAGAAAACTCCATAGGTGAGGTTTTATATGAGTTTTATCCTTTGCTAAGATAAGGATATGGGCTTCCCTGGTGGCTTAGTCAGTAAAAAATCCGCCTGTAACGCAGAAGACCTGGATTTGATCTGTGGGTCTGCAAGATCCCCTGGAGAAGGAAATGGAAACATTCTCCAGTATTATTACCTGGGAAATCCCATGGACAGAGGAGCCTGGAGGGCTATAGCCCATGGAGTCACAAGAGTTGAACATGACTTAGCGACTAAACCACCAATAAGATAATGATAAAGGACATTAAAACAACTGATTGGGCAAAAAAAACCCCACATACTTCAAACTCCATTTTCAGTCAGAGCCTACCTTACATCTCACTGATGTGGTTTTTCCACCTAGTTATTTGGTGGTCTAATACTATACTAATTTTCAAGCCCTGAGATAATAAAAGAGCCCTTGTAGATACTGTTAAGTTTGTTTTCATGCATGTCAGATTAGTATTTTTTACCATGCATGATTCAGAAATGGGAGAGGGACCAACAAGGTTTTGTTTTTTAATGTAACGTCATCAGAGAAATACTCTTTAGATCCATTTTCTTTCTCAACTGCATTCACTCAGAGTAACCCACATTACTATGTCTACTCAGCCAGAGAGCTACTCAGAGAAAATAGCCTTATAATTTTTATACAGAACCCTGGCCAAGAACAAATAAGATAAAACAGAAAAAAGAAAAAAAAATCTATGCCAAAAGTAATGGGTTCCCAAGCTGAGTGATGTATCAATACTTCTCATAAGAATTTTAAGATCACTATCAGAACTGGAACAGCTGAGGGACACTGAAGCTTTATTATTATTACTACTATAATACCATCACTACTACTACTATACCACCACCACACAACTATTTAATGTGTGCTCCTAACCCTCCCCAGAAAGCTGCCCTGGGAAGGAACCCGAGGACGGTTGTACTTTGGCCTGTCCTTTACTGCAGGGTCCTTGGGAGACACTGGGATTCATTGTGTCCTGGGCTACATACATTTAGATTCCAAGATCCTGTTGAAACCTATTACCTTGGACAGGGTGAATATTCCGCTATTGGACAAATAAAGTAATTGCCAAAGACCAAAAGGAAGCATTCAGGGATGACTAGGAGTATTTTATTTCCTGTTAGGATAATCTAATAATGAGGATCAAACTCTACACTTAACAGTCTGAAGTCTAATTTGGACTGGATTTAATTTCAGAATTACCAGCTGAAGGTGGTAGAATAGACTTAGAGCATTTATTTTCATTCAGAATGATTTCAACAGGCTAGGACTTATATAGCTATCTCTCCATAGAGAAGACAAAAGAAGGTTAAAGTTACATTTCTAAAACTGTGTGAAATAGATGTCTAACTGGTAGGAGAAGCAGATGACTCGCAGGCTGGCTGGCTAAGGAGATGGGAAGGCTCATCTGGTTTTGCATTCACCCTGTGTCGGTTCAACAAAGAAAGACATTCCCCAAGAAGCACAGGGTCATTCTTATCCAACTACATAAAAGTAACTACCCTACCTTGCAGAAAACTACAGGATGCCTCACTCATCAAGACATACACTTGCCATCCTGTTACTTATAAATAACTCGCTGAAAACGTATTCAACACCTACTAAATGAGAGAGATATAGTGGGTGCAAAAAGTACTACAAAGATAGATGGGAAGTCACTGTTTCTAAGGAAGTAAAAACTTCATGGCAAAGACTAGGAGCAAAATGTACATATATATACACGAAGTAATAAAACCATCCTAAAAAAAAAAAAAACACCATCCTGATTCTAAAATGTTGCACAGCACACAGGCTCTTTTACTCTAAAAGATCCCTAAGGTCACGGAACATCAGAAGCATCACTTCCTAAAAGAGGCACGGGATGCTATCTGGAGATGGTTACAGTTAAGGCCATTTACTCTCCTTTGACATGTTTTCACTTATCCTTTTATAGTGCTGGGCACACACTGGAGGCGTGATCAGTACTGTCGACTTCATGTGCACAAAGAAGCCACTGCACTCAGCTGGTTGCTGGGTCAGTCAGTCAGTCAGAGTTCCTTCCCAGTAATCAACTTCAGGTAACTTTGGATAGATTTTTACAGTAAATGACTTGTTTTAAATCCCACCTTCTTCCTCTGTCTGATTTTACAGGATCAGCCAGCAAATCCGTCAGTTGCTGGCTCTCCCTGTATGTGTAACTAGTGTCCTTACATTTTAACGCCCATGGCAGGCTCACCACACCATGGATGCTATGCTGCTTTTCATTGGTGCCCACAGGTTTAGGTAGACTAGACATTCAGAACATATCCCCATATAACAGTTTAGATGTTGGGAGCCAGCCGGCCCCTGGCTTGTATCTTTAGCCATGTCATTTATGGACAACCTCCTTCACCCTCTGGCCCTCAGTTTATTCAGGTGCAAAATAAAAATCATCCTACTGTACATAGTTGAAGTAAATGAGATAACATGGCAAAGTATCTAGTTGTCGTTCAGTCGCTAAATCATGTCCAAGTCTTCTGCAGCCCCATGGAATGTAGCCTGCCAGGCTCCTCTGTTCATGGGATTTTCCAGGTGAGGATACTGGAGTGGGTTGCTATTTCCTTCTCCAGAGGATCTTCCCCACCCAGGGATCGAACCCAGGTCTCCTGCATTGGCAGGCAAATTCTCTACCACTGAGCCACCAGGGAAGCCCCTCAGTACCTAAACCACTGCATTAAATACAGGGAGTGGGTAAGATTTTACTTTTCCATTCCTTCCTTAAAGTAGCTTCATTATTTCTAGTACTTTGTAGTCCAACAAAAAGCAGGTTAAAAAGAACATGGTGGTTTCCTTTATCGCTTTTAAATTTGCTAGCAAATGAGCAAAAATACCTTTACTGTATTTTGCTTATGTATAAGATGTTTAGTGGCATGCAGGATTCCTAGGTTATGACAATTAAAACAAGAGACCCTGACTGAAGACTTCAGCATCTGACAGGATCCTGATATGAGTAGGACAAGCCTTGCTGACCTCCCACCCCTGAAGGCAGCTAAGTAAAGAAATGAAGAGGTCCTTGTGCCTTGAATTTTCTTAAACTCATGATATGGTGTTGACTTTCCTGAGGTTGGGAGCACACAGATTTAACAGACGCTCACTGACTTTTTAATTACTTAAGATATCATAACATGATGTTTTGGGGGCTTGTTTCTTTTTTAGGATATTCTTTACGTATCACTCTCTCATTACACTTTTCAACTTCAGAAGCTACTTAAAATACTTTAGAAAACTCAAAGATTAGGGGGAAAATGTCAATATATATGTAGGTATGGTTATACACTAACTTACACATGGGCCCAGACAATAACTATAAAATGATTTAGCCTTGGAAACAATGAAAAAGATAATTATGCTATATTTAAAGAATTTGAAGCAAAAATAAATTCTGTTTTTCCAAAGATCTCTGATATAAGGTTATCTAAACCCTATTATAAAGCCTTTACTGAAAACATGTTCCCAGAATTAAACAAAATCTTGGTATAGAGTTGGCAATCAATAAACCTTTACTCAATCGATAAATACATGGGTTAAAATCTTGCTCGAATTTTATAAACAAATAAACTCTGCAAATAAGAATTACCCTAAGTTGCCAAGAAAGTAAGTGGCAGAACCAGTAATAACGTTCAGGTCAATAAATTTGTACTTTCTGCCAACCATTTTACAAAATGCTACAATGATCATTACCCTTACTCAGAGATAAAATAACTGAGAGAAATGAAGCCATTAGGCCCAGACATCCAACAGGGCAGGTTTGGTCTAGAATTTTAATGTTCAGCCTAGGATATGTATATTTTCCTCTTTTTCAATTTTCATATTTCTTTTCCCTCTAATGCTGCTGTTGATTTCCTGATGAAAAGTTATCAGGAAGGAAGTCTTCAGAAGAAAACTGGGGCTGACTTGCAGGACCCATTATGTATGTCTCCCACACTTCTCAGCAATTGTACACTGTTTTTCAGACAAGCACTACTGAATATTTCAAGCAGCATAAGATGAAAAGCAAGGCAGAGTAGTTTTACTGCAGCGTATCCCGACAGTGTACTCTTTAGTTCCATGAACACTTTATAAAAGTTGCATTTCCCCCCTCCCCCCCAGTACAGTGTATTCCAATAAAGTGAAACCCAGTAGCAGGAACAAAACAGTGCACATTAGACTGAATCATGACTTGGCAGATAATTACTTGAATGCGTATATCGTTTTAAATCCCTTATCTTTAGCCTCTGCTCCATCCAACAATATCATTCACAAATTTAGCAACATGCTTAAAATCATTCCATTGTAGTATGTTGCCTTATTTAGCAGCTTTTTTTGGTTTAGATAAACTGGGAAGATTTAAAATTTTCCTGTTTAACTATTAAAAGAAAGTTCCTATTATTTCATTCAACAAGATTTAAATCTCTAAAATGAGAAGTGTTATAGTCAATTGAACACTCACCTAAACCAGACTTTTTTAATCGCTTTAAGTGCTGACTTGTTTGTTTTCCAGTGGGAGATTTTTGCCCATGTTTCATTTCTTTATCTGAACTGTCTGCTTCACCATTTTTAGATTCAGATCCTAAAAGAGGAAATAGTTATTATGTCATTATCTTCCTCTTGCTGTCCTTGAAAAGAAAAATCTCAAATTGTTTTACCAACCATAGATATAATCTCCTTTTCTAAGAGTTAATACACTGCCTTTGGCCACAATCTGATTCCTCTACTGGATATAAAGAGAAAAGTCCAATAAATCAATCAAACAGAACAAAAAGCAAGAACAGATGGCCTAATAGTGGAGTCAAAAACACATTCACTGATCTGATAGCTTTTAAAAGAAACACTCAGATCTTTTGTGAAAATATATGAATACACTTCAACAATACTATGCCACTTGGAGACGATGCAAGGCCAAGACAGAAAGATGAAGGATGAAGAGAGGGAGAGATCATGCCTCTATGAATAACTACGTTGAAGCAGGAAGAGAAAACGCAAACATCAATCTATAATAAATAGAATGGTACATAGCTGAAAAAGTGACAGAAGGTAAATTAGAAGAAAAGGTCAGGGCTGCACTGAGGTGAGAAGAATGCTGCCAGAACACAAAAACTAATAAACGATTCTTAGATTTTGCAGCAGAGGATGGCCAAACAAATTCACACTCACAGAAGAACGGCTTTTGATGGCATTACACATCAGCGTGTGGTCCAGCATTCAAGTTCAGCATTCACACAAAAGCCAAAGCAAAAGAAACCCAGCTAGCAGTACCACACATTTCCTTACATCTACTGACACTCGCAAATGGAGTCCTGTGATGATGAGCAAGACGTGCTTTTGCTTTTTTTTTAAGAGCAAAATGCCCTGTTAGGTTTGAATCACGGAAAGAGTTGAAGGCATAAAAACAAAAACAAAAAAAAAAAAATTAAATGAAACCTCAAGTGGAAATAGTATTCAGTTTCAGAGAAAATTCATGACATCTCTCTCTCTCAGTGAGGAACTCTCCTCCGGGAAGTAACTGGCCAAGCACAGAATATTTTAGCTCTTTACCTGAAGGCGAATCCGACTGCTCATCAGACACCTTTAATGGTGTCAGAACCACACGAGGGACAGTCTTGTTTACCATCATTGAGACTCCATTTCTTCTCTTCTGCTGCTGCCTCAAAGCCTACAAAAACATGATAATAAAATAGAACAGAAACATATAGTCAAAATGATTTCTCATAACTGAATTAAATGATCCACTTGTCTATCACTAGATAGAACCTTTCAGACTTAAAATTCCACAGAGTCACTCATTTGTCAAGACTCTTCAGCATCACCTTCCTGTCATTTTTCCCTCAAAAGCATAAAATCGGGCTTTAGCAGAGGGTAGAGACCCTGAGACCGTTTTTGGGAGAATTCTGAAAACCAAACAGCATGTGGAGGTTTGTGGTACCGGAGCAGTGGCTTGAGAGCCCATGGAATTGGAAACCATGACTCCCAAAGAAAAGAAATGTAAGATAAATGTTTCGCAACCAGGATAAAAATATATGTGTCTGCACTTCTCTCGCAGGTGCGTCCTCTCCAGCGGGCTGCTCAGTCAATCAAGTTAACACCGAGTGTCATCAGTATGTGCAGCAGGTAAGGACTACAGTATTGATGCGCTCGCTCAGCCGTGGGGAGCGCTGCACAAAATCACTGAACATGGCAGGAGTCATTTATTTCTGTGAAGGGAATCAGTCCTAATCTTGGAAACCTTGCAGCACTTGGCTCCTGTCTGCTTGACTTTGGGCATTAACCTTCAGAACACGAACATGACGGCGTTCTGGCAAATCCTGGCGGGGAGGGGGTGGGGGGGGAGATTGATACGAGAATAAATTGCTCCAAATGGGAGTGCTTTGTGTTTCATAAATGAATCGGCCGTGGTGATGATAATGTAATAAAAAGACATTGAAAAGTTTTGAAATACAGCTTATCTAGCTGATCGTTTTACGCAGAAAATTACCCGTAATAAAAAGGGGCTTAAGCATACACAATTGAAGAGACATTAAATTCATGGTTCCAGGAATGCTGAAACTCCTCAAAAGGGTACCAGGCTGACCACAGACAGTCTCCAACCTTTTTATTCCTGGTTTCTGTGTAATTTCTACCAATTTTATAACATTTCAGTTACTTGATTAATGTTCTTTGACCAATAACTGTCACTGTCTTCTGAAATGCTATATTGACTCTATATCCCCCGGCTGACATAAACAACACTATTTTATGTGCAAGGTGTTTTACCTGAATGTCCAACTTGTTGACCATAAAATTTAGCAATCAAATAATTACAGGTGTGTAAAACTAAATATCACTTAAATGAGAGAGAGCATATTCAGATGAGAGTTAAAACCAGATGGGGAAGTGAATAGCTTAGGAAATCTCTTATAAATGATACTGTTGCTAACAATAACAGGAGACATTTTCCCTTCAATTCTTATATTTAATGAGTTTAAAAAGTACCAGCCACTTGGGGAGGGGTGGGGGGTGGGGCATGGGGGACAGAAGACACAAAGATAATAAAGATGCCATCCTCCTCATGAGAGTTCATGTGCTATATAAAATATTTACAACATTTACTCTTTCATTAAGGTGTGTACATAATTGCATACATTTCTCTAGCCCTGTGTAAGAACTCCAAGTACTTTATAGACATTAACCTACAATCCAACATAAAACAATATAAGGCAAGGCAGTACCTTAAATTATAATTAAGCCCACCTTTGCCCACTATGTAAGGTAAGACTTCCCAAAGCAATTAAAACCTATATAAAGAGTGATCATTTTTTTAGGCGTCTACATAGATTTCAAATTTTTCCCTTGGCAATCCTAACAGGTATTTTTAAAATATTCATTTAATGGTACGGTGGGGCGGTGTATTTTGGAAAATGTTGCTTAAAGAAAAAAGAGATGATACAATCAGAGGCTTAGAAGCCAGAACCACAAAGTCAAAGGTAACATGTCTTTTTATAGTGTTTGTGGTAAATAATTATTAAAATAACAAAAATTTTGCCCTCAAGTCTTAAAGCTAAGACTGTACTATAGAAAAATTAGTGGTTGGACAGAAATAAACCAAGGTATCAATAATATGAAAAGAAAAACCCATGGCTATTTTGAATTTTAAATAGTCAAGCTGGAGCCAAGATAGGGATAAGGAATGTTAGTCAATATTGAGCCCATTTCAATGGTCTCAATGATTTTTTCTGAATATATATTTCCTACTCAGAAATTTGAACATTGTTTCTTGGTACAGCATGTTCTAAAATACTGAAATGCAACACCACATGCTTGTAGGTGATGGCAACTTTGTCGCTCTTTCTTTTTTTTTGCCTGTACTATGTGGCAATGCAGAATCTTCTTATTCCCTGCCTACCAGGGGTACAACCCGCACCCCATGCAGTGGAAGCATGGAGTCCTAACCAATGGATGCCAGGGAAGTCCCAATATGCCTACCACTGAAATGACTTTTGCTCTTTAGTTCTTCTATGCGTTTGCTAAAGTCTCTTTAGTAAGTGATGACGGGAAAGTGGGACAGCTGCATGTAAAAAATGAAATTAGAACACTCCCTAATACCGTACACAAAAATAAACTCAAGTGGATTAAAGACCTAAACCTAAGGTCAGATACTATAAAACTCTTAGAGGAAAATATAGGCAGAACTCTCTCACATAAATTGCAGCAAGATCTTTTTTGACCCACCTCCTAGATTAATGAAAATAAAAACAAAAATAAACAAATGGGACCTAATTAAACTTAAAAGCTTTTGTACAGCAAAGGAAACCATAGAAAAAATGAAAAGACAACCCTCAGACTGGGGGAAAATACTTGCAAACGAAGTAACTGACAAAAGATTAATCTCTAAAATATAGAAACAGCTCATGTAGTTCAATATCAAAAAACCAAGCAACCCAACGAAAAAAATGGGCGGAAGTCCTAAATAGACATTTTTCCAGAGAAGACATCCAGATGGCCAATAGGTGTATGAAAAGTTGTTCCACATCACTAATTATTAGAGAAATGCAAATCAAGACTACTGTGAGGTATTGCCTCACATCAGTTAGAATAGCCATCATCAAAAAAATCTACAAACAGTAAATGCTGGAGAGGATGTGAAGAAAAGAGAATCCTTTCACACTATTGGTTGGAATGTAAGGTTGTACAGTCACTGTGGAGAACAGTATGGAGGTTCCTCAAAAAACTAAAAATAGAACTACTGTATGATCCAACGATCCCACTCCTGGATATCCCTGACGAAAACCATAAAAAGATACATGCACCCCAATGTCTACTGCAGCACTGTAAGAAAGAGAAAAAAACAAACACTGTATAATACAGTTTATCTGTGGAATCTAGGAAAATGACACAGATGAACTTATTTGCAAAGCAGAAATAGAGACACAGATGTAGAGAACAAACTTATGGATACCAAGGGGAGAAAGACAGGTGGGATGAATTGGGAGTTTGGGATTGACATATGTACACTATTGATACTATGTATTAAAATAGATATTTAATGAGGACCTACTGCATAGCACAAGGAACTCTACTCATTGTTCCGTGGTACCTAAATGGAGAGGAAATTTTAAAAACAGGAGATATATGTATACATGTAACTGATTTTCTTTGTTGTACAGCAGAAACACAACACCATAAAGCAACCATAGTCCAGTAAAAATCAATTAAAAAAAAACACTGTTCTAAGTGTATTAAAAATATACACTTTGTTTGCCTTACCTCTGAAAAACATGCATTATTTTCTATTCTGACTAACACTTCCAGGGTCAAATAAGCAAAAACTGGGACGCCTTTGTTTACTATGATGCTAGTATCTAGCAGCTGAACTCAGGAGTATCGGGATTCAGCTATCAGAGAGGGCATCTTGATTACGTTTACTAGATCCATAGCCATTTTAGGCTGAGTCATTTTAGGATACCCTGCAGATTCCAATTCATTTTCTAGAAAGCAGGATTATTCGGCTGTGGACACTGGGAATACCCTCCAAGCAGATCAGAATATGGATAGAGGAGAAAAAAACAATGCTGACTTAATTGAGATGTCTGGGATAGTTTGGGGTGACTTTCAACGGTAAAACTCCAGTGTTTGTTATGTGCATGAGGTGGGCAGTAAAGTCATTTGGAGTCCCCCATGGCAGGGCATACATTCTGCAAATAAAGAAGCTAGCTGCTCAGGGTTTGTTTGGTTTGGTTATATAACTATATTTCTGCAACTACGTGCGCATCGGCCACTCGTCACATATGCTGCATGTCTCCTGACATTCCCCTGAAAAACATGCAATGCTTTCTGGACCATGCTGGCTAGGGTAAGAATGACAAGGGGTAGACTGCGGACTGCAAAAGCACACACCCACTGGGAGGGGCGTAATGACTCACGAGAAGAAACGCAACTGGACTTTTTGGTGAGGTTTCCTGTTTTAAACAATGTGCCTGACAAAGAGGATTCTGAGCCAAATTCAGCTGAGGGGCACCACTTTCTGATACTTACTAGACATCATTCCCAGGGTTTCTCTACCTCCCCGAATAAATGAGTCTGGCCCACCGCCTGAATTATTCGAATGCCCCTCGCCTCCTGGGCTGACTTACAGCAGAACACGGGCTGCAGAGCTGTCTTAATGCCTGTGCGGCCTGAGGCTGCGAGCCAGAGGAAGGCTTAACCCGTGAGCTGAGTGGTGCTGGGCAAACTACCGGGGTAAATGCCCCTGCAAAAGAGACAACAGTGTTGGTAAGGTATCTGAAATAGGACCACCACAGAGCTATGGTTTAACAGGCTTTGGGGGATGGTCAATGGCCACCTGGCTTCCTCTCAGTGAATCCTCTGAGGCTATGTCTAGCACCCCCTTCACAACAGGATACTCATGTACCCCATTATCTTTAACTTTATCCATTTATCCTTAACATCATCCATTATCCTTTTAGCTTCAGCTAAAATTCCAAGAGAACAAGAAAACTGCCTATTTTACACTAGACATACAATAGAAGAGAAATGAAATTTACTTCGTAATTGTCTAAGCTTGGGTATCTCAACCTGGAAATATACATCCACGTAATAGATCAAGAAAATATGATTAGGAAGGCCACTTTCAATGGTCATGGAAGATCTGCTCTGCACAAGGATACCCTGAGAAGGGAG